CGAGCTACACTTTTCAGTTCTTATCATTCTTAGCAGCCATAACTGATTAACTTATTTCAAAGTAAGTTATACACATACTAACCAAGCAGAATGAGAGATTTACCACAAACCTTAGGACTTTCGAAAGTTGTTTGTTACTAGTAATGGATCTGAAGGAGGGTCAAGTCAGATTAAAAAAAGTACTCCAACTTAGTATAGCAGGGAAAAATCTTGAGTTTTTCAGGCATACTGATTGTTTGAAAATGCTTATCAGTAGTTTTCAGCTTCTCAATGATTATAAAAAGTGGATACTGAACTTTCTAATACATGAATGTCAACTCTTATTTGTTAGCAAACGTCTAGGGTCCAAGTGAATTTTCGCACCTGAAAAAGAGATCTTAATTTTTGGTTCTAACACACATTGACGGCGTGTAGATTAGCATTTCTAAGTGTGTCGAAATGTAAATTTGGAATGGTCTGTTGTTTAGTGATACTTACAATTCTTTGTTGTTTATTCAACTGGACAGCATTGGTCTGCCTCTGTCGATATACAGACTACTTGTACTGATGTCTTGGTATCCCCTTGGATTTCTTTTTGATATAAGTTGCTTGGTTGCTACTAACGGTGGAGCCCAGCACCCACGTTTCATCCCTTCTTGGACTCTTCAGCTGAATACACTTGTATACTGGTGAGTGACAGTATTCCAACTGAGACTCGAACCCAGGCACATCTAACTCAGTGGTTCAAGTTAAAGGTCTTTATGGGTTTATCGATTTCAAGTTGATATTCATCATTGACTGATATCAGTTAGAGATGAACTGGAAAGTTGACAGCACTGGATAGCTAATTCTTCCTAGTATTAGACTTTTCATGGATGCGCAGTTATACATAGAATGACCTTTAGAGTCCCTCACCCTTGAAGCCCACCCTAGCAACGACTGAAATTAACAAGTAAGTTTCTTCCCTTCAGCCTGGAAGGTGGTTTTACCAGTATCTCCAAGGGCTACTCTAAAGACAGCTAAAATAGCCAATCGGACTTCAGTCTTTCGGCTGGGGAGACTTTCATAAATTACAGGAACGTAATTGGTTATCTCAGCAGTTGTTAGAGTGGCCTTTAAAGCCACTCTACAAAAGAGAACACAAAATATAATCTTTTCTACACTCGTATTCTCCCAGTCTAAATAATCTGTACATGCAAGTGAATTTCGTGTCCACAACTCACCATGATTCCCATAAATGAAATAACTGATTTCACGCCTATGAAATAATATAATATACAAAAGCTGATTCTATTTAATATGCGATTTCTTAAGAGTCATAAATCATACAATAACGAATCAGGAATCAATGAAGGTTTCTTGAACCGATTTATACAATGATGCTATAAGTCTTACCTAAAATATCTTTTGAAATAAATTAAATAACATTAATGGTAAGCCTTATCTCAGATTCATACATTTTCCTTCAGCTGGTATAGCAACGTGACAGAAAATCTGAGCTAATTTCATCAGTGCGCGTCATAATAATGTAAAAGGCTGGTTGTGTTATTGTTGCCTAACGTATGACCAGTCCTACATAAATTAATGTGCTCATGTACCAAACTAATCAATACCTTATCTACCTGTAGGTACTGATTGATAACTAAAGACAGAGAGGAAATCGCGCTAGCTAGGTAAAGGTGCTCAGGAGAGAAGTTTATTTATTAGTCTGAAGTAAAAACATTATTGTAAGGGAAATCATGTGTCTGTCGATCGCTCAAAACTGGGGACTGTGTGTGGCTGTTGATACCCACAAAAGATGCTAAAATGGCGAATGGAGTTGGACAAATACTAACATGTTCAAACCAAACTTGCAAAACTAAAGCCACCTCCTGGTGGCATTATTATTTAGCTAATATTTAGATCCTTTAAGTGTTTATTTGTTTTTTATTCATTTTGAACCTAGAAGTTAGTTAGGGGAAATCGACAGAAAGCCCTGCTTGACCCGGGTTTTGCGCCCCCTGGCACTCGTCAGGAAGTTGCATTTGTAACCCCAATGGAACCGATGTGCAGCCTAGGATTCAAGCCTATGCCATCTGTCGTTGTAGTCAGAGACGTTACAACTGAGCTGTTCGAACCACGAAAGATCTCTTGCAGGACTAAAACAGGTACACTAACTGACCACTAGAGACTAACCGATTTCATGTTGTCTAATCCTGAGTGATGACCCAATTCTACCGATCAACACTGGCTGGTGCGGGTTCGAATTTCAGAGGAGGTATCAATTCCCTTGAAGTTGCAGATGCTCCTTACTGACGAGTAGCAAAAAGCACGAAACGTAGGTCCAAAGCTTACTATCGACTACCTCCTACCAACTAACATCCATCAAAGTGCACCACGATAGTGAACCTCCTCGCTTTGTGGCCACATTGTAAATGATCCACAGAGTTCGTTCAGCACTCGGGACTAGGCAACATGAGATTGGTTTCGCTGGTGTGACCAATTAATGTAAACTTGGAAGTATCTCTTGCCCCAAAGGTACTCGACAATAGCAAGAAATTGGTGACCTCAGTTTTATTATACACATTTATGCAGTTTATTTTCCAGTTGAGTGGTAGTTAATATGTTGGGAGACACATTAACTTTGACTCTGAATGGCTTAAAGTACAAAAGCCTTTGGTATTATTGCTGACGACTAATCAGGTAACCATTAGTATATGAACTTATTAAGGGCTTAGTGAAGTTATTTATCTTCAGTTCTTATCAATCTATGGACTGTTAATAATCCAAAATCTTACCTGAAAATTTCTTAGTATTGTACAGTAGAAATGTCAGAAGGTATATATGCATATCACGATCTATTATCAATCTCTGTTGACAGAATATATCCTAGAAGACAGTCTCATTTCTTGTGATAATACTTTTGAGACTTCCAGTTTATGCTGCTGACCATCTTGTTTAGTTAAAGACCTCCTATCAAGCTAATCAACAACACTTATTAGTCATATCACGGTGGCATAAACAATGGTTGGTGATTCATCTGATGTGAGACTGGAATAGGGCAATACGAAGACAGAGTTTCTGTAAGAAATATGATGGATTTGCACAATATATTTCGAACAGTCTGATCGCACATTTGCTTGTTAAGAGACCTTTTTGCATGAAAGGTGAAAATAGAGTGGAGTAAGACAAAAAATTAGGAAATTAATGCATTCGAAAAATAAAGGATGATAAAGAGGAGTAATATATTTTCACACTAAACTTGGCATTGAAATGACATAAGGATTGCCATGGAAGGTTTACAGCAGGGACAAGTTGTTTCTAAATGCACAAAGGCGGCTTGAACTTTCCTATCGCTAAGATCCTAATGAATGACCTCCTATATGATGATCCAAAGTCTGTTTTGTGGTCAATCCTATCACCTGTTTGTATAATATTTTTATGAATAGACACTGATATGTACTTGCTACTCGTATAGATCCAGGTATGTGAATGTAGTCGCTTCTCCAACCATTTCTTGATATACCCCACTGAAAAAGGTCGCGTACATCTAGCTACTATACAGGTGGGAGTAAAACACTTTGATGTTAGGACGAAGGTTTAACTGGCTTATTAATAGAAAGTACTATGAAACTGTGTTGATTACTTTGCAGAATACAGTGCCAATGATCCAACATAAACCTCATTAGTACAAAAACGACTACGTCATATTCTGTTGTCCATACCAATTTACGTGTGTGAGGAGACTTATACAGTGAAAGAAATAATGGAACTATGAAGCCATTAGTGATGGAATACACCATGAAATAGCTGGAGAAACGATTACATTTAAACACTTTGATAAATACAACTAGACATCAATGTCTATTGGCAAGTATATTATACCAAAAAGTCATAGGATTGACCCCCAAACAGAGCCCTATACTTACGTCTAGTGGAACCTCAGTGATACGAAAATTCAAACCCCTTAGTGTATTCAGAAACAATTTGTCCTTGTCTCAGTTTCACTTCACTCACTAGGCTTTCATATTACTCCTTGACAGGTAACCATCTGTTCGTCGTAAATAAAGTGAAATTAAAGCCTTGTCAGAGGCTGTCTCGTAGCTCATTCGAAGCAGCACCGAGCCAGTAACTTGGATTATGCAGGTAACCATCCCGCTGGAAATCACGTTTTCAGTCCACCCTTTATGAATGAAAGGTATCTGTTGGTAGACAAGAATGAAGTATAAACTTATGAAGTTTCAAAAAGAAAATTTGGACATTCCATCTAATCGTGTCGATGTTCATAAAACACGTGGATATGTCCAACTAAACAGCTAGTCAAACATATTACCTCCAAATTACACAGTCAAACAAATATGAATGTTTGAAATATTGGAATCCGAGTGACGATTGACACAAATTGTATTCTGAATCCATTTCCATAAAAAAGAAAAACTTATTTCGTTTACGACGAGCTGCTAACCTTCGTACTGAGTGAACACTGTAAACACTTGTAATTTATTTGGTGACTAGCAAGTATCAATAAACAACAACTGATAACCGTTGCACAAATAGTGGCTCTCTCGCACCCCAGCGACCTAGTGGATAGTACTTTGCCGTTTGAAGTGGTAGGTCCTGGCTTCGAGCCTCAGTGAGAACAGCATCACTCACTAGGGTGCAGGTAGATTCAGTTGACAAGTTTTAAACTGGATGAAACGCTCGTCCTAGATTCTACTGCTAGACACCAAACAGACTGAAGTATAATGAATATCCAGGTGCTATCGAGGCATCCACATAGGAGCTCATCTGCTAACAGAGGTCGAGCAATTCGACGCAGGATAGCAACGGGAAATCACTACTATAAGTAAATAATTATAAAAACTTCTTGGTCTGCTTATTGGGTGACTTACGTAAACAGAATTTATAAAGTTTCCATGAACGAAATTAAAATCAATAATACCCATAATCAATCCAACATCACTGAATCGAATTAACAAGCAAACGAACTAAGAGTTAGTGTTTAGTAATATGCATAAAAACAAAAAAAGTGCATTAATATTCCGCTATCCACTTCTTTGAGTGCATTTGTTTCAACAGTTTACTTTATTTTAATACAATTTGAAGTCAATATTTTGCGTAGATTTAAAAGTAAGACGATCAGTGTAATCCTATAATCATTCCTCACATTTTTCATTTATTTGAAATTATAACTAACTCAAACTAACGTTTATCATTTATTTACTATTAAATAAGGAGTGATTGCAAAAATTTCAAAAGAGACACAGAGATGATACTAATTATCAATCGTTTTCATTTGAATTTCCTACTTCTATGCGCTACATCATTTGTTTTAACCACCTATGGCCAGTTAGCGAGTATCAATACAAATAAGACGGTGCAAACCACTAACCTTACAAATCTAACTGGTAGTACAACTTCAAATGAATCTACTAAAACAAATATTACTAAATCTCATCATCTGATAATAGGAGCAACCCAAGTCACAGCTACTGATTTATCACACGAAAGTCATTTATCGACATCTAAAAAACCAAAAGTCATCAAAGCTGCTTCACTGAGTAATCATGGTTCACACATTCATGATTATAGTCAATATTTCAAGGAAAATGATGAGAAAATGCAGAAACACAAGAATAACAATGATAAAAATGATGAGGTACTACCATCTCAGTGGATTTATGGAGAACTGGGTGAATATTTAAGTTGCATATATGAGAAACAAGTGAACTGTGAAGATCGATTTGTTACAAATCTACAACTTAAACTGTTAAAGATTAGAACAGAAAAACAGAAAAAGACTGAAATCAAAAAAGATATGTATTATCATAGATCATTGTTGTCATCACCGAGACTAGTGAAATCACCATCTCCTTTCCCATCTTCTAAGGATCATTCGAAATTATCATTGCCATTTGAAACAAGAAAACAAGATCTTGCTTTATCCTTTAAGTTTGGTCCAAAGGGTCCACAGCAACCTCATCATCCATTGACTGACAAAGGAAATGAACTACCAATCCATCACAAACATAAACGTGATTCACCTGAATACCGTAGAGGTGAAGGGAAATTTGAAGAGCATCGCAGAAGACACGGTGAACATCATCCGCATGAAAGACGTGAAAGATCAGATAAACTTACTTCACATGCTAATGACCGACATCCAACCCCACCCACACCACCATCACCTCATTATCCTCACCATCATCATTCACCTCCATCACATTCACACCACGCAGTTAATATTCCCTACGATTTGTTTAAAAAACTACTTGAAGTTTTTCCACTCATTAATTCGAATGGTAAATACTCGTATCACTAGTATTTCAAAGGAAATTAAATTATCCTCAACTTCACCATCAATATCGTAATTATCATAAAAATGACAAAAATAAACATAAAAAAGATTGAATCTGCACTAGATACTACCCCTTGCAAAATATCTTTCATTATTTGAAGTCGAAATGGTGAGTGACTCATACTGATGTTGATGCTGTTATCTTTGCTACTAATAAAAATAATAGTAGTAATAAATGTATCCGGAAATATATTTCATGTGTTTTTCTTCCTTATTGAAATAACTGATCAACGCTTATCAGTCACCTCATTTTAAGAGGAGCGGTTTCTTTTTTGTCGATTGAAATACTTGATTCTCAATTAGGCGATGTGTTTTGGTCAAAAATCGACTCTATATCATTATTACATACATAATAGGTGAACCTAACGAAATGTATTCACCAAAAATTGAGGATGAATCTCAGAACACTTTACGATGCCCAAAAGCTGCAACTTCTCAGATCAGTCGTGTTCTGTAACATGTTATTTATACTAACACTAAAGAAGTTAGTAGTCCTTCATACCACATCTTAGCATTCCATTTCATAACTTCAGAGGCTGTCAGGCTTGTTTTGAAATTTTTACTTTCAACCTCAGTTGGATTACATGTGCATTATATCGAACACATGCATAGGAACTACATTACAACTAACCACTACAAACTTATTTTGCATCAACACCGAATAGTGATGAAAACCTGTTTTGAAAAGCTCGACTCAATGTAGTTTAACAGTGGCCGTTTCGATGCGCCATGTATGTGGTGTGTAAATATTTTCAACTTCTAACTTATTCCTGCACATGGCCTTGTTCAAGCCTTGGCGATATTGTGAAAGTAAGTTGGAAAACACATGAAATGACATGATAATAAACTGTACAAGACGTTTAGATTGATTTGTTTGGAAGTACCGGAGTTATGTCTATAACCACCGATCATTGAATGTTAACCGACATAGTGATTAAGATCTAAGTACTGATCCACCAGGTCTGCAATATAGCTACTACGCTTAGTAATGCAATGCAAAGAGTAGATGGTAGGCAGTGCTGGACTAAGCTTCCGTACTTTGTGACACTCATTACCAAGAATCACTTACATTCTTGATGAGGATCCTGTCACGTCGAGAAATCAAATGTACTTTATTCCCTTTCCCACTCAGAGGATCTTCCATTAGGCTGTTCAGTAGATAACCTTGGTTGTTAAGTGTCAATAGGCATGAAATCTAGATCGAACACTTTCAGATAATTTACTCGAAAGACTATACACGAAGAAGTAAACCAAAGTATCAGGTCATTCAACACGGTTACCAAATCTTAGAACTGATCCATAGGATTTGATGAAAATTTAGAACTGCACAATCGCAACACTTAATTCCAGTGAGCAGTTCATAGGACAAATGGTGCCTTAGAAAATCAAAAAAAGTGTCTAAGGTAATTGAGAAAACTGAAAAAGTTAAAGAAATGAGACGAAAATAGCTAAAAATACGAATTCACATAACTTAGCGTCTTCAATCCTTTACTTCTGTATTCAAATCGAGGGTATGTTGGGAGTCTGTTAGTGTTTTTATGAATAAAGCAAACTGTTATCAACTTCAAAAACTGGCATCTCATCTGGTCTTGCTAGTTGTATTACTCATTAATCGCTAGGAGTACTGTCAACTTTCAAAATAGATAAGAGTCATTTCAGATGTTGTATCACGGCATGACATTTACAGAATGATCTCCGTTACATAAGAACTTATATTCGATGTGAAAATTGTTTGATCAAATTCAGCTTAATTATCCTCAAGCCGGAGCTAAATTAAAGTAGATTAGGACGTGAGAACATGATATATGTCAACACTGAAAGTACTTGAATAGGACTAAGTTACTCTTCTCTCACATCCTATTTCTAAATGGGTAGTTACCAAGTGTCAGCTTTTGAGTTATTCAAAGAATAACAGCATTTGTGAACATCAGAAATCATCCTGGATACACGGTATATCAAATAACCATCATATCGCCAGTCAGAAACCTGCTTCAACCATCGAAGTCTGGAAAGCCAAGCAGCTTCACCAGTCCTTACATATTACTTGTACTTTACACTCTAGTAGATAAAGTTATGTTGATTAATGACTTGTACTGAGATGGGATTTCCGGAAGTTTTTGTGAGTTGTGACCGGTGGGGTAAATCGAGTCGAACGTGAGGAAAAGTACTTAACGGTGATATATCACAAACTAAAGTAGGAAAATGTGGATCACTGGATTTCTACCCAACAGTTCAATGGTAACATGCAGTCTATGGAAGGCGGGGTCATTGGTGCGCTCTCCTGAGAAGTCCAACTCTAGAGTGAAATAGCTGTTCCATGCACCTGGGTTCTCAACGGTCCTCCAGTTCATGACAAATACCAGTTTGAAATCAGAAAAATTCTCACAAACCTCCAATTTGAAATCTGCATATGTTATGTAGATGAAGATATTATACACTGAATGTTTTATTTCGCCGTGAAACAGCTGTATATTTCTCGTTTCCAGGTGATACAAATTTTGAATGAAGATCAAAACTGAAATGATTGAAATTTCATGTAGTTAAAGGCTTCAAGTTTCAAATAAAACGTTTTTAGCACTACAGTTTAATCTAAAAGTCTATTGTTATGGTAAAGTGACTCATATACACAGAGAAACAGTTTATACAAACTGCTGCACAGGGATGAGAAAACAAATAGGTCTGGAGAGCTTAAACATTGCATTCCGTTTGCATTCAGTAATTTGGATATATTTTACTCTCCATGAGCAACTGTCTTTTTTAAATGCTCACCAGAGGAATGATATCAGGTATGTTCATGTTTGGATAAAAAGCCTCATTTTTGGTATAGCTGATAGAATATGCAATGGAAAATACTTGAGCATACAAAGCACAGAGAGTTAGCAACACTGCAAAATTAACGAACAAAAGTACTCCTAACCTGACGTAGTTTCACTGTAATGTGATTTATATCCAGGTATCACCATGTTCGTCTGCTTCGTTCAAACTTCATAACTGAATCATTTTCCTGTTTCGTGACAGTTGATTGACTTGCTATCAATTTCGATATAATATTGTTTGCTACCTAAAACTTGTTAGTAGTCTGAGTGTTTATGTAAATTATTCCGATACGGTCAACATTCACTGGCTTTTAGATAATCAATATGAAGTACTAGAATATCGAGCTGACAAGGGTGCATATTCGACCAAATGCACTTATCATATTCCTTAATAACAATAATTTTTCCTACAAACTATTATTTACCATTCATGCATACACTAAAAATTATACTTAATTAAACTGTTTAAACAAAGTCCGTAGATTTGTTAACATTGACCGTAACATCTGTGATTTTTTGTGATTAGTCTCACGCGTCTTACTATATGAGCTACTTGTCTTACTGTTCACTACGGAACGGTAGTATATATTCTATCCTATAGTTTACTGGTGATCCTTCAACCATTATTGATATCAGAATCTGGGATTACCTGACAACGGCTCAAGCATTCACAAGTAACAACGGGGAAGCAAATATAAGGGGTAGAAAGTGAACATTATTATTATTTGTCCCTTGCGTCCCTACTGGAACATAGGGATTCACTAGCACATCTCCATCTCACTCTCTTCTCTCCAGTATTTTCCACCTGGCTCCACCACTCACCACAACATTTCATTCCTTACTCACACAACCTCCTCCATGTCACCCTCAACGAGGACGCCCAAATCGTCATTTCCCATTTACGCTACACTCGACGACCTCACCTGACACGTGATGTCCCAAAACCGTCTTCTCAGTGTATGTCCAGTCGAGTCGAGTCGACTCGAGTCGAGTCGAGTCCAGTCCAGGCCAATCCAATCCATCTCCACTTTCTTCTCCATATTTCATGGGTGATAGCTTCGTGCTTCATTGGTTCTTTCCAGCCAGCCAGCCAGCCAGCCAGCCAGCCAGCCAGCCAGCCAGCCAGCCAGCCAGCCAGCCAGCCAGCCAGCCAGCCAGCCAGCCAGCCAGCCAGCCAGCCAGCCAGCCAGCCAGCCAGCCACAGTTCCTTTTCGCTTATTCTTATTATTCTGGCCATCTCATCTTTAGTACTGAGTGAGCGTAGGCAACAGCTGTTCGTGTATGTCTGCACTTTGTTGTAAATGTTTATCGTAACGCACCAAGTCTCTCTCTCTCTCTCAACCATCACACAGAAGCACTGACTTACTTGACTGACTTAGTGTTGAAAATCCGGATACTGTTCACGCTTTATGCTGAGTGCAGTGCAGTGCAGTGCAATGCAGTGTAGTAGATCTCCACACTGATTTCACATTGATACAGGAAGGCCTGTCTTTCTGTCTTTCCTATCCTGGCTGGGCTGCTTTCACATCCTCATCTGTGACACCGCCGCCCACGACCACGCCCACACAGCCCATACTTGAAACCATGCTGGTCTGCCTATACAGGTGAAACAGAAAACTTCCTTAGGTTTCTCCAGTTCATGGTGATTCCTGCCTCTTCTCGTTGATGCTGTTGTTGATTGGGCATGCTTCATGACCTCCGTCTTCTCCACCCTCACGTGAACGAAGTCCCGTCTCCCTTCACTGTCCTCCCTCTTCTCTCAACTTGTTGCTTTTCGCTTGTAGATCTTCGAGGTTGTGAGACATTAGACAGAATTTATCATCGGCGACGAAATCCAAATCTTCTCCTGGGCTGCTTCCATTGGTACAGTCAGTGTATACCCATCTTGTCAGAGCTCCTCACAGTTGTCTGCTGTATGATCCAGTCCAGTTCAGTCGACCACAATCGAAACATTTTCTTATGAAAAACTAAAGTTAGAGATTCAAAGAACGCTTATAAACCCAGAAGGTACTCCTTCATTCATAGACACCTCAAACACTGTACTTTCATTCTGCACCCTTGAAATACAACACTTGATTGATTGAAGAAAAGAACTGTGTCCAGGTGGGTGTACTGTATTACGAACCACACCTGCTTAACCGCCTAATTCTTGGTAGATATAATGTAGTTCGAATCCTCAGCGTCGTCCTTTAAACACATGCGCTGGTAGCCTTGATACTAATAGAAAGTTCATGGACGATACTTAGAAAATGAAAAAAATACCATTGGGCCATCTTCCTTTATTTAAACTCCATGAGATGCACTTAATAGTTATGCCTAATCCCTAAGAAAAACTAACTTATGATATGTTTACATTATCAATGTAAAAT